AATTGAGATGATTACAGCATAAGTCATGTATTTCATGGTGAGATCATGTTGGCTAAATCTGTTTTGTGTTTCTTCATCCAGTGCTCTAGCATGACTTATGGTACTGGCATCTGTTCAGACATGACATGTTCATAGTGAACCGCTCGAGAGGGAACACACCCATGAGGGGTGGAGCCAAGACTAATTAACACCAGACTACCTCGACGATGAATGCTATCATACTGTACAACTCTTGTTTTAGTAGTATTCCTCTTTGTGATTTACATTTGTGTGTCCAATGCAAACTCCAATGTCCAATGAATGGAGATGCATGACAAATTAGTTGGTCACTCTGTGTGTATTTTAGTTTCATATTCTATTCTATTCTATTCTATTTATATATTTTTGTTTGTTTCATATTTTCTTTTAATATTTTTTGAATTTCCATTCAGGTCCAGGCTGATTTATGCTGCGTAGTTTTGGTTTAGAAATGTGGTTAGTATTGTTTTGGCACTAGTTGGGGCTGGTTTAGTGCAGGTAAGTACTGGTCTGATGCTTGTCTAACTGGTGCTAACCAGCTTAGCCATGTTGTTCACCAGCAAAACCTGGTAAACCATCAAGGTTGGCTAAAATGCTTTGATGATTAAGCTAGTAAATCAACAGGTTCTTGCTGGTTATGTTGGTAAGCTATTGTGATTTTGCTGGTTTGGTACTAGTTATGGCTGGTTAATGCTGGTCAGTATGGAGGATTAGCAAAGTCATGCTGTCCAACAGTAAAACAGCATGGTCTTCTCCATCAAGCTGGTTGACTTTCTGGTTAAATCAGTAAGCAAGGATTCTTGCTGGTTTAACTGGTCAGTTAATGTGATTTTGCTGATTTATAAGTTTGGTGACTGGTTTATGATGGCTAGTGCTAATCTGGAGCTGGTTCATTCTAAGTTAGAGTTGAGTAGAACTAGTTTGGTGCTTGTTATGGCTGGTCAAGCTGGAAAATTAGCAAAGATGCTGTCCATTAGCAAAACAGCATGGTCTTCCTCGCCAGGCTTTTTGACTTTCTGGTTAAATCAGTAAAGCAGAGGATTTATACTAGTTAAGCTGTTTAGGTAATGTGATTTTGGTGCTTGGTGGCTGGTTTATGCTAGCTAGTGCTAATCATGAGCTGGTTCAATCTAGTTTAGGGTTAAGTAGTAGGCCTACTAGTTTGGTGTTAGTTATGGCTATTTAGTGCTGGTCAAGCTGGTTGACTTTGTGGTTAAATCAGTAAAGTAGAGGGTTCTTGCTGGTTCTTGCTGTAATTTTGCTGATTTAGAAGTTTGGTGGCTGGTTTATGTTGATTAGTGCTAATCTGTAACTGGTCCATTCTGGTTTAGAGTTAAAGAGTTAGTTCACCCAAAAATAAAAATTCTGTCATTAATTACTCACCCTCGTGTTGTTCCAAACCCGTAAGACCTTCGTTCATCTTCGGAACACAATTTAAGATATTTTTGATTAAATATGAGGGCTCTCTGACCCTCCCATAGACAGCAAGGTAACTACCGCGTTCAAGGTCCAGCGTTCAAGGTCCTTACTTTGGGTGAACTAACCCTTTAAGTAGTACTGGTTTGGTGCTAGTTGTGGCTGGTTAGTGCTAGTCAAGCTTGTTAACTTTCTGGTTAAATAATTGAAGCAAAAGGTTCTTGCTGGTTAAGCTGGTCAACTAATATGATTTTGCTGTTTTAGAAGTTTGGTGGCTGGTTTATGCTGGTTAGTGCTAATCTGTAACTGGTTCATTCTGGTTTAGGGTTATTACTGGTTTGTTGCTAGTTAACGCTGGTTAGTAGAGATGCACCGATTGCAAATTTCTTGGCCAATTCTGATTTCCGATTTTTTTGCCAATTTTTGCCGATTCTGATTTTCTTTCTAAGAACTATAATTGACAGCATATACAAACTAAAATTAACTTTTTTCAATTAAAAAAAAATATTTACATAATAAAAGAAATGGTTAAACATTACAATTCCCCTAATCTGGACTAAGTTACAGTAGTTCTCTCACTTAAACAACTCTACAAATAAAGTGCTCTATGATTGGAAAGAGGTAGAAATGAGCTGATGTATATAACAAAACAGATGTAATTTCCCACTGTTTATAAATTTTTAATGAGTGAGTCATTTAGTCTTTCATTTTGTTCAAATGGCTGATTCATTCAGGAAGCGAGGCAAGGTTGATTTATGCTGGTTAGTGCCAATCTTGAGCTGGTTCATTCTGGTTTACTGTTAAGTTAGTACTGGTTTAGTGCTGGTTATGGCTGGTTTAGCTGGTGGACGAGCAATGCCATGCTGTCCAACAGCAAAAATCAAGGTCTTTCTGCTCAAGCTTGTTGACTTGCTGGTTAAGTCAGTAAAGCAGAAGGTTCATGCTGGTTAAGCTGGTAAAAAATTGGTCTTGCTGACAAAGAAGTTTGAGCATGCCTATTGTCTGTGTTTACAAAGCAAGATGGGACAATATTTAGTGTTACACAATTAGTGTACCACTATCAATCCGTCTGTGTTTTGGTTGTGTACTATCATGTATTTTAAAGGGGTCATATGATGCGATTTCAATTTTTCCTTTCTCTTTGGAGTGTTACAAGCTCTTGGTGCATAAAGAAGATCTGTAAAGTTGCAAAGACTAAAGTCTCAAATCCAAAGAGATATTCTTTATAAAAGTAAGAGTCAGCCACACCTACCTAAAACGGCTCGTTCTAACACGCCCCCACATACCTACGAAGATTTGCATAACGCCGCCCAAATGTTTACGCAAAGAAAGAAGGCGTAACTTTTTTCTCGCTGTAGTATTGTTGTTGCCGCCGCCGCCATGTCGTGAAGACGCTGTGTGCTTCGTTGTGAAAGCGAAACTACTTTGTTTGGCCTTCCAAAAGAGGACGATATCTGTTTTTTGAACCTTAAACCGCATAAACACATTTCATTACACCAAATACACAAAATAATGTTATTTTTAACAGCATCATATGACCCCTTTAAGCTTTTAGCTCAACATAACTGACTGAATTTTCCCTGGTGTAGTCGAGAGATCTTTTGACTCTTAGCAAACCTTATTACATTGTGAATCTAGCACAACTCTTGCATAAAATATCATCCTTTTCCTCATTCACCTCAGAGAATAAATTAATGAATAACTAATTTCAGTCTTCTGAATTAAGCGACTCAGTTGAATGGAGCCACAAATTAATGGATGGATGAATGAGTGAATGAATTGATTGATCTCAAGAGAAAGTCGTACAAAAGTTGAACTCGAAATCAACCGCCCCGTTGCGTATTGTGTTTTTGTGTGCGACGGGGGCCTGGAGATGGAGGGAAACGGAATTATGACAAAGGGGATTGAACATGTTTCTTGATCTCTTTTCACCTATTCTCACTGTGAAATGTCAAATTTGAATTGATTGAAAGGAAAATTACAGCTGTATTATGGGATTTCATAGGGGGAGGGGTGTTGTTGCCACAGAAACTAGACAACTAGAAACTAGCTTCTCAAAGTGCTGTTCTCAGCTAATGAGTAAGCAAAGGTCTCATGTCGAATACACAGTGGCCCCAAAAAGTATTCAGAGACTTATAAATGGCTGATTGTCAATGCATTAAATAAAATGTCAACCCAAATGGCATTTATTTGAAAGAAAAAAGTATACAGTAGGCCTACTTATTAAGAAGAACATTTCACGGACATTTGTCAAGTTTGAAGTGATAAAACAGGGGCTTCGGGTTTTGGTGTTAAACCCGCTTCACTTGTTTAAACTTTTGCCAGTAGCAAAAATGGCATTGCAGTAATTTCTTTAAATCAATTCAAACTGTCCATTTCAGTAAAGTGATACAAAACTGATTTAATAGTTCATTTGCATAATCTCTAAAATATTCACAGATGTGTTGTGCGTTTTACATTTCAGAGGAAATACACACATATACACTACTGTTCAAATCTCTGGGGTCAGTAAGATTTTTTTAAATTAATTAATATTAATAAATTAATATGAATAAAATTAATAAATTTTATTCAGAAAGGATACATTAAAATGATCAAAAGTGACGGTAAACACATTATTTATTAATGTTACAAAAAAAGTTCTATTTTAAATAAATGCAGTTCTTTTGAACTTTCTAGTCATCAAAGAATCCTGAAAAAAAGAAACGTATCACAGTTTCTATAAAAATATGAATCAGCTGTTTTCAACATTGATAATAATCAGAAATGTTTCTTGAGCAGCAAATCAGCATATTAGAGTGATTTCTGAAGGATCATATGACACTGAAGACTGGAGTATTGATGCTGAAAATTCAACTTTGTTCACAGGAATTAATTTCATTTCAAAATATATTCATACAGAAAACAGTTATTTTAAATTGTAATAATATTTCAGAATATTACTGTTTTTACTGTATTTTTAATCAAATAAATGCAGCTTGGGTGAGCAGAAAAAAAAATTTGACCCGACCCCAAACTTTTGAACAATGTTTCAATATTAATTAAGATTAATGTTAATTAAGGCAAAAAGTATAATGACACTTGTGAAACGTGAGTGAATCTTTTTGATACATGAACATCACTCTGCTAGGACACCTGAGTGATTGTATCATTTTTGCCTAATGTTTTTGGTGATTTTCAGTGGGAAAAGCGTAGTGAAAAGAGCACAGAAGACACTTATGTGATCTTATTTCATATCAGACATTTTCAAGCATAGCATCAGTGTTGAAATACTGGGGCTGCTGTACGCATCTGAACTGCACCAGCCTCCGTTTGGGAACAATTAGAGGAATTTTAACCCTTTAGTTCCCCACGTCAGCTCGTCACACATGCCACACACACACACACCACCGTTGTGCCCCCAGCAGCCTCCCTCCATTGAGAAAGTTAACAGTTTGTTTTTCACAGGGCTGAATGCTTCACTGCACACATTACTGAAGCCCCTTCATCTCCCCCCTTTCCTCTGGACGCAGCCCGTCCGTGAGAGGCTGACTAAAATGATTTCTCTCTCTCTGTCTGTCTGTAAGGATTGCATTAAACAGATCTGAAGTCTATCGGATGCGCTCCTCTGGAATGAGCCCTTGCTGACACCTTCCTCCTGGTAAGTAGACTCTTTCTGTCCTCATCTGTCCATCTGTGGACAAAACTATCCACTTCCTGTGAGTCTTTTCATCTTGTTGCTCTGTGCTTTCCTTTCTTTTTTTTGGCATGAGAGCAATTTTGCCCACGTCTTCCCTCCCTTCGTGTCCATCCCGTATCTTTTCCAATCTCGTCCTCTCTCTCTGCGCTCCATCCCGTCTTCCCTCTCTCTCTGTCCCCTCCCTCTCTCCGTGTCTTTGTTGAGGTATGCTGATAAACAGTTTGGCCGTCATCTCCAGACCTCCCCCATTGTGTGTCCAATTTTCTTTGTTCTCTCAAACTTTGGCACTGGCCTGTGTGTGTGTGTGTGTGTGTGTGTGTGTGTGTGTGTGTGTGTGTGTGTGTGTGTGACTGACAACTTCAAGTGTTTGTCTGAATAGACGGAGCTACTATGCAAGAATTTAGCCGTATTGTCCATAGTGTTGCAGCATTTTGATTGTTTTTGTGTCTGTCTGTGTGTCTTTTTCTCAATTCGGTTCAGTTTCATTTCAGTTAATCTGTTTTTGTTGTCATTGGAGTTAATCTTGTAATTTCTGTTTGCTTTTTCTGTATATTTCTCATAACTTATTTTAGATTAGTTATATTTACTTGGTGTAATTCTTTTTCATTTCACTACAATTAAATTAGTCTTTGTTGTCATGATAGTTCATTTTGTTGTTCCGTTCTATCTGTGTGTCCCTATTCTGTTTCTCTCAACTCTCATTTTAACTCAAGTTTAATTTGAAATTAAATCATGTTCATGTTCATTGCTGTCTTGACAGTAATTTGCACTGCAGATATGGAGACATAATATTTTGAAATAGTGTATACTGTAGAATGTGCATTGCTAAGACCTATAAATATGAAGGTTTGGGGTCAGTATTTAAAAAAAAAAAAAGGAAATTACATTGATCAAAAGTGACAGTAAAGACAATCATAATGATACAAAAGATTTCTATTTCCAAAAATGCTGTTATTTTCAACTTTCCATTCGTCAAAGAATCTTGAAAAATAAATGTATCACGGTTTCCACAAAAATATGAAGCAGCACAACTGTTAAATGCACAACATTGATAATAACCAGAAATGTTTCTTGAGCAGCAAATCAGCATATTAGAATGATTTCTGAAGGATCATGTGACACTGAAGACTGGAGTAATGATGCTGAAAATTCAGCTTTGATCACAGGAATAAATTATATTTTACAATATATTCACATAGAAAACATTTATTTTAAATTGTAATAATATTTCACAATTTTACTGTATTTTTGATCAAATAAATGCAGCCTTGGTGAGCAGAAGAGACTGCTTTCAAAAACTTTTGAATGGTAGTGTATGTTTCTTATATGAATTTAAATTGATAAAAAATGATTATTAATTTTGCAGCATTTATTAATCTTGGTTAATGATAATGATTCTTTATTGTTTATTAATTTATAAATTCCTTTAATGTTAACCAATAAAACATTTATTGTTAAAAAGTTAACTGTTAGTATATGTAGAAATAAAAATAAAACTCACTATTGCATTAACTAACATACTGTGGAAAGTTTTTACAGAAAAGAAACTGGAAGAAACTTATTTTTGTTTGTTTTGAAATGTCTGAGAAATGCTTCAAATATAAATAGGGTGGCTGTTGGATTTATTTCATAAGACAGAATTAAACAGAAAACCTAAACAACCATGATAATGAAAATTCATGCATCTGCAACTTTGAGTCTTAAGTGCATGTTGTCCATTATTCAGGGCCAGCCGCCGATGTGCAACGATTCATAAACAAATATGCAAATTTACAGCTGTGAGCTGTGATTTTTGTTTCAAGCTCATAACGTTAGTTTAAACATTCTTTTTCTCTTTTATATCTGCTTGAATATATTAAATTATTAATACACTGTTGAGAGAGATGCTTCTGTCACAAACCTGACGTTGTCAATGAGGGAGATGGACAGAGAAAGGGAGAATGAGTGAAACGTGAATGGCGTGAGGATGGACAAAATAAAAGGCCGGTCTTGTTGCCGTGCTGTTTAAGATTCTGCCTGGTGTCAGGTCCGTGGTCAGGGCTGAGTGAAAGTGCTCAGCTTTGGCGGATGACCGCGTACTCGCTCAGAGCGCCCGTAAAGCTCAACGGACTTCATTCACGTGCTAAAGAGCCTCTGCTTTGACAGATAGTTGGCCGGTCGCACAGAGGAGGCTTTCACGCAGAGACAGTGAAGGAGTGGAAGGTTTAGGGGAAAAAAATAGCAAACAAGGACGCATCTGAAAAGGCAGACACTTTCAGAGATACAACAAATATCCGTGGAACTGCTCATTTTTTGGATCTGTTTCACCGTACATCTATCTCAGGATGCTCAGGTTGGCGTTGGCTCTCGGCGGCAGAGGTTGCTTGGCCCGTATTAGTGCCCAGGGTAGTGCACACTCACAGACCTCCAGCTGTGTGAATGGGAATACAGTTCATTCTCTTTTAGGGCATAAAGGTTTCGGTTGTGTGACCCCTTTCAGCGCAGTGTTAATTTTGACAGGCATTTTTGATTTAGTCTTAGTCTTTATCTTGAGACGAAAATGCTTAATAGTCTTAGTCACATTTTAGTCATTTGAGTCTTTCATAGTTTGTCTAGATTCAGTCGGCGAAAAGTCATTGCATTTTTGTCAACTTTTAGTCAAACTGCAGTTAGCAACATTTATTTTGGTAGCTATTTTATATGTAGTCTTCAAACAAAAATAGTCATTAATTCTTTTCTCTTTAGACCAAATCAATTAAGCTTATGAGAAATTTGAATCAAGTATTGAATTTGGAAAAACTTGAATATATGATGACAATTTTCATTTGGGTGAACTGTCCCTTTAACAATAGTGAAAAGGGAACAACTTATAAAAATGATAGCTGTTCATATATAATATATATAATTTTTGAAAAAGAAGCAGAATAAGACAATAAGACAAATACGAAAGAGATACAAATTAAACTCATTTTTCAGATACAGTAGGTTTACTTAACATATTTATTTGGTGGTGAGCATTAATGACACGGATAGGTACTTAATTAGGAATGCTGTCCCTTTAAGACAGAAGGCATGCATGCAATACTGACACACGTTCAGTTTTCACCCACCTGTTTACGTTCACTTAATCCATAACCGACTATATTTACGTGAGATACTCACACGATAGACATTTGGACTGCTGTGTGTGTATTTGAACACTGAGAACTGATCGCGCGCTGTATATGAGAACTGAAGAAGTGGAGCGTGCGCGAGAGAGAGCACTGCTATCAGCACGATTCCGCCTATCCCGCCTTCACTAACTTTAAGTTAATCGACAACGAATTGTGACTCCTGGGAAAAACGGGATGTCTGGTCACATTTTCTCTACCCCTTCGGGTGCTGAGGCCATTGTTTCAGATCGCTAATTCGCATTTTGGGAGCCTATCCATACCCTGCGGTGAAACGACCCTTATCCGATTGCAATCCAATGACAGGGATGCACATTTTGAAGGACAAGACAGTAGCCTATAGGATGTATTTTGCATGTCCGGTAGTCCTCAAATAACATTATAGTCTGGTCTCGTCTTGTTAACGAAGACGCGGCATAAATTTCGTCATAGTTTTTATCTTCAGATATTAGTTTTAGCTTGTCAACGTCTCTTCTTAGTCACAGAAAAAATGTTCGTTAACGAATATTTTTCGTCGTTGTCTTCGTTGACGAAATGAACACTGTTTCAGCGTTTAGAGAAATGCCGGCGATTGAGGGTGGCCAGGCTCCAAAGGGCAAAAACTTGTTCTCTGTGGGCAATGTTTGTTGAGAAGTATCTGGTATTTTTGCCAATGAGTCTAGCTAGGAAAATGAGCTTAAATTACATGCACTCTGCAAATGATCAAGTGCATCTACAAGACAGAAGGTCTTCATCCTGTGCACATTTGAAGACAGTTTCTTGTTTTCTGTCATTTTGACAATGCTTTACATGAGCAATCACAGACTACGGACTTCATTCATGAAATGCACACAGAATTAATTTCTCTGTAAATCATTCATAAACCATTCTTTGGAAATTGTTGCACTGAATGGAATGTGACAATTTATGTAAGGATGGTTTTACAGATGATTTATACAGAAAATTGTGCTTGCATTTCATGAATGAGGCTGTAGATGCATCACAGATTACAAGAACAACATGCCAACAAACAACATGGACTTTCAGTCGCTTTAAAAGAGACAATTTTGAGGCTCTTCAGATGAAATATCATACACACAAGATTTCCCAAGGCTGCACAATATATTAAACCCATTTAAAAATCATAATTAAGCATAATTGTGAATTCACAAACGCTACGATTTAATTAAATAATTACCGTATTGACCCGAATATAAGACAATGTTTTTTTCTTGGAAATACATCTGAAAAAACACGGTCGTCTTATATTCAGGGTCTAGACTTTGACATGTCAATAAAACACCCACAAAAATAGGTGGCGCCAAATACGCATAAAACGAGTGTGCCATGAAATACGTAATGTAATGCGTGTTGTAAAGATCGCGAGTAAAGAAAACCTTACAGCTGCACGAGTCGTGACTGTCATGTTAGCCTGATGGGACCTAACTCCCTTTGTGATTTTAAAATGTAAGACAGTATCCAGATTTGAAGACTACAGTAAGATTTAACTTCTACTGTTAATAAGATTTTGGTAGGCTACTATTAGATGGATAGCATAAATGTCCTAATTCAGATGGGCTACCTGTTTTTTTTTTGTTTTTTTGTAATGGTATATCAAAAAGTATATATTTTTTAAATGTGATTGTTGGTACATTTTACCAGTTTTTACCATACTTTCAAAACAAAAATTAAAATAGGAAAAATATGCAATATGAAAATAATTGAAGACAAAATGTGTTTTACTGAGAAAAAACAAGATTTGGTTTTTAAAAAGACTTTTTCCAAAAGGTACATCTGGAAAAAGGGGGGTCGTCTTATAATCAGGGTCGTCTT